TACAGTAATTTTAGTAAAAGTCGCTCAGTATCGCCTCTCGCTCTTCGCAATATCCTCCTTCCCTTGATGCATTGCGAGTGAGAGGCGATTTGAACCGACAATATATTATTGGTCAACGTGACCAGTATACATTGGGTTGGATCAACCAAAAGTATAAATTGGTAAAAATGACCAAACTAAAACTGGTCGCCTGTGATGCATAAAAACAACCAATTTTTTTTGGTTATTTTAACCAACCATTTTTTACAGTGTGCGAGTGAGAGGCGATTTGAAATGAGTTACTTTAACACAGTTAACAGTTCCAAGCACCATCTTGAAAGATAGTCTTTCCATCCAAGGAAACAGCAGATGAGGCTACAGTGTAAATACCTATCACAAGCTCAACTACCTTTCATCATGGTGCCAGTTGTGACCTAGTTCGCTTGATTGTTTTTTGGATTCCACTCTAATTGGAACTAGTTACTGCTTGTTAATTATTATTGTGACAACATAATCATAATGTTTACGCAGGACATCGAATAATCTATTTACAACAGGAACTCTCAGACGCAATTCATATTATATAATAAGTAGACTGTATCATATCAAAATGCACCTACAATCATGGGCAAAATAGATTGGGACACCATCAGTGAAAAGATGGTTTTGCATGGGGTTTTACCTCCCATTCATCCATTCTCGGGGGGCGGCGGGGAGGCTGAATTTTGTTGCATTGTCAAAATGGTAAGGGTTATGTGTTTCAATCCCAAGTAAAATGACCAAGACTGTAGTAAATATGCAATTTGTAACGTTTCTGGATCGATTGGATTGTATCTGGGGAAGCAGAAACGAAGTTATGCTAGAACATAACTATGGCTAGGCTGAAAGGTCCATTCAGCCTTGTGCAACGTACACTTCTAAGGTCAATCGCATCTCCTTTCTGGAGACTATTTTCTCCCTTCCAATATATTCATGGTTCAGTTTTCAATTTTCGTTTTCCTTTCTTTTGCTTTGACTGTTTCGGTACCTCGGTACATGATCGTTGTGCAACTCGTGTMACATASTCCGGGTATTTCTCGTCAAGTCCTTTTAAYAAAGGAACGTAMGATATTTCTTGTTGTGGCGATGACCCGTTYGTCTCTTTGCATTCAATGGTTGTTATTTTCTTTTCTACCAGTATGTATTCGCCTTTTAATGTCAGGTATTTCATAGCGTCATCGCTTTTATGGTCTGTGAGCTCTAGTACTAAACCTATAGGAAACATGAAGAGATAGGTAGCGTTAAGATTGCGTTGGAGTTTCTACGTGAAACAATTCATTGTGATATAAGGATAGATTAAGGTGCAAAAAATTATGACGTTTTGTAAGTTGRTCCGATAACCGTAGTAAAATCACAGGTGTCCCAACCACTAAATTTAGAACACTATATTGCTGTATGCTTTAAAAGTATTCATTTTTCATGTAACGCAGGGGATCCGCATTWTATTTATGAAAGTGCGCACTCTTTATCTTTTTCATTTTTCGATTGCGCGAAAATTACTAAATGATAATTCAAAATTCAATGTATGGTGTAGGCTTCCTGTGAGTGAAGCCAACCCTTCCATAGAAGCGTCAGTAAGTTCTCTGATCTATTTTGAGTTTGTGTCGTGTATGAAMAAAAAGAAGCTGACAAGGAAAGAAAAATGGATGGTAGTGAAATTCTCGATGAAACACTGATTTAACAAAGAACATTGATAATCATGCATGTTGGCCATAATGAGAGCGAAAACTCAAATTTTACATTTTGATTTAAAAACCATTTCGACAATCTTTGTTTTGTTCATGTCTCGAACTAATCTTTGAAGTCAAGACAGTACAAACGAATTGGTCTCCCACGATGTAAGGTCAAATGTAAAGTCACATAGTACAATAAGTATCTAATATTTGTACAAGATATTTCTCAGAAAAAATAATTAAAAAAATGTTACTCATTTCACTGTTATGCTAGTTTCATTCCTGTATTAGAAATGGCACAACCATGTTTTTTTTTGATCGTATTAAAAAATAGAGCGTTTTCACTTTTGTTAATAATGCTCCAAAATTTGTCGTGTTCTGTTTGTAAAATATGTAAAATTTATGAAGTGTAAATAACAAATGCAACGTCCTTTATAAATGGTTTCTTTTCATTATAATACCWATTAATAGAGCTAGTTATCACATTATAGATTAAGTCTATAGGTGTTTACACAATAACCAGGCTAGAAACTCCGTGTAAAAATATGTTTTGTAAAAGCCCGCAAAACATTGCTGAGATAACAAGCCAAAAGTAAAACCTGTGTTTTCATGTATGRCGTCTGTTTACATGCATTGAGCGCCGGTTTTTTTATTGGAACTGTATAAAGTGTATGCAGAGCGATGCAATATTACTAGTCTTTCAGGTATTTTGACAGTTTTTTCAGGAACCGGAGTTTTCAACTCTGTTTGATAAATRTTTTCATTGACTTGTTCAACAGTGAACTACAGTCGTTCAAGCTGTTGCCATGAGAACGACTCCAACGGGACAATCAATTAGTATCTCAAAACTTTGTTGCAAATCTGGTCAGGTTTTACGTAAAAAAGAGAATATTCTTTCCTAGTATGATTACAGCAAATATATGCTTTCCTTATGGAAATGTCAAAGTTAAAGTACATTCCTAGATTCCAAACGTAAACATTTACAATACAAATTATCGTAGCATRATTGTAATGGTTAAAATACTGTATCTTTTAACCTAAGAATTTGGCATGTCTTTTTTTCTCTGTCAGTTTACTGATTTCGATGCCGCAAATAAATCCACCATTATTTCGAGAAACCGCGTTATTTCGATCTGCAGATGAGCTCTAAATCATTACCTGTTTCATCAGTTAGGTCCAACTCGGTTTTTGAATCACTCAAACCGCATCTATCTCGGATATTATCCAATAAATTCACCACGCTACAACTTGGATTACACAAAAGAGACTCGCAATCACCATATAAAACAGTTATAAACATTGRTAACACCGTAGTTTTGCCGAATTTTTTTTTATCTTTTGAAAATCGACTGAAAACCAATGTTTATGCTAGACCCACACGAGCTGTGCGCGTCCAGGTGTAGCATTATAATGAATATTCAAGCTTACAGTATAAGCCAAGTCACAATGAATCACCTGGCTGCAGAATGTCAATGACACAATGCAAGTCACTGCTGGGCGGAATTACATGGCTCAGATTTTCATCAAAATACTTAAATTTAAACCATTTAAGAATACACATTGATTCCTCTTTGACATATTGGCAAGTAAAGATTCGCAAAAGAATGAATAAATAAACACTAAAAATAATTAAATTAAATACAGTAAGTACGTGGATAAATATTGTTTATCTTATAAATATTAGTCGGTCAACGAAAATGAATAGCCAGCATCTTCCATTTTTCATGCTTTAGTGAAAAAAAAAAACAAAAACAAACAAACAAACAGAAGAACTCCTCCCCCCTACTATGATAAGATATTTAATGTGTATCTTGTGAGCATTTTTAGCCAATCATTTAACTCAAAAAATGGTCACGTGGTACAAAAAAAGTTTATATCGAAAATCTGATAATTCTTTTGTTTTGCTTACGAGAAACATTTGATTTAATATTGACAGAGGTTAACTTCCGTATAAAATATTAACATCTTTACTCCGACGAAGGATTAACATCCGAAACGTCAGTAAGTTTTTCCACATACTTTTTTTACGGTGTTAAATTTATCTTTTTACATAAAATATTAACATACTCCTTATTGCAARTATAGGGGATTGAAAATGTCTAGTCTTCCTTATATTAAAGGGTTTGCTTTCACTGGGCATGCATCGAATTAAACAGTCATTTCTCTGATATATTTTARTATGGCCTTGGAGTTATCAAACGTTCCGCTCGTTAGCTGAAATATGAAAAAAGCTACTTGAATAACTTTAAAAAAAAGTTGTCATATGGAGAATATTTAGACTTAGTAAAAATTGAAAAGTAAGTAATCGAGAAGTACATTTACTTAGAAGTAACTAATGTAAGCAGAATAAGTCAAAAAGTAGGAAGAATGACTGAAAAAATAACGATAATATGGAACCGCAAAGGATATAAGTACCAATAGTAAATCTTAAGCTGTTCCATACTAGTTTTGAATTGGTTTTGATCGACCATCTTGTTTTTTACGAAGCATGGAAAGTCATCTTCGTCTATTATTGTATCAACATGGCGACGGCATGTAATTAGCCGGTTAAAAATACTATATTTATATTGTACACAAGTTACAAAAAGACATTTTGCAGTTATAGTAAAWTGCAATCAATATGTTCATGAAAAATCTTGCAAGAAATTAAACAACAATTAAGACAAAGGATTTCCCACTAATTTGCCTAATTTATTTTTTCATGGATAAAAATGAGCGCACTCTAATCTTGTTACTATGTTTGTTGTGTCAAATTAATTGTAATTGTGACAAAATTTAAAGATTTTGAAGATTAACTGAAATGATGACGTCGACATTCGCGATTCAATATATATTATATTTTGTGATGGCCTGATATTTAAGTTACACCGTTTTTCGCGACGCCCGGCACTGATTCAAATAACCTTTTCCAAAAGTTCATCTATGTGCATGATCTAGGAACAAGGTACAAATTTCTTTATTACCAATCTTTTTCTAGAGAGATCTAATGCACGGCAGCTGGCCTTTCTTTCCCGGCATACGATATAAAGTCTTACTTCTAACGGAATATATCAATATAAATGTTGAAAGTACATATTTTTTGTGTAGCTACCGCCATTTTCTATTCTATTTAACAACTTACGTGACTTATATGACATGCTTCCACTCCTCGATGCGTGTCTATGATCTCCTCTAAATTTGTCCTGCTTTTTAGTCTTTTTACAATACATCCGCATGTTTCGCGCCAGTTCTCTGGAACCACAAGCAATCAGATTCTACAAAACCTAACGTCCGAAAATTGATGCAACTGATCTCTTGCCGCAAGATTGTGTCCTGTCAGCGACAGCAATCGTCCATCTCAGAAAAGTTATGACTGACAGTCAGATCTTGATTTCGGCTTAACTTCTGTCAATCAGTGTTTAAAAAATTAATATATATTATTACTGTTATCAGTGCTGCTATCCTGGAATTAAAATCGCGATGTTCTTATAGGATTTTTTATCAGTTTTCTGTGAAACGTTCTTGATGCAACGTTAGGTAAATGTTCTAGGCAGAATACCAGGCTTGAACACTTGGGATACAGATCATGTAGTCATGGAAATTGACTGCAATAATGTGAGAGCAAATAGTGTTTTTAACATTCCATATATACATGTACAGCAATGTACTTAATCAGTTTCATGCGTGTGTACAAGGCTATGTACCTTGTTCTTGATGGCTTGGCGAATGTAGGACAGACGCAGTGACATGATGATTGGGTTGATGAGAGACTGGAGATTTATAAATGTTGCACAGATAGGCATTGCGAGGTACGRAAAGTCGCTCGTTTCATCTTTACCCTTCATGACTTGTATCACGGTTACTATAATGACAGGAATGTAAAAGAGAATTGACAAGACCACTAACATGGTCATCGTGAACACTCGCTTGTATTCCTGGAGTCGTTGTTCTTGTTGCTGCTGTTCGTCTGGCTGTTGAACTGATTCTTGCTGCAGGGCAATGGTTCTTCTCTTACGGTAAGCTGTTAACTGTACTTTAGAYGWGCAGTACAAAATGACCACTCCAAAAATGGCAGCGGTTGTAGARGCTGGAACTTTAAATAGGTCAGGGTGGCTTTGAYTTAAAACGGTGCCAGTAATCAACAGACACCCTAAGATTACTACCCAGGCAATGGTTGTTGCTGTCATAACTTTTTTAACAGTGATGTTCTTGAGGTAAAAGTTYGGATGTTCAACGGCTAAATACCGCTCAACACTAGCGATRGTAAAGCTGACAAACGTTGAGCCTCCGCAAACTGTRCAAGACAAAACGTACGCAGTGAATGTACAGTCAGGCAAAAGACAAATGTTCAGAAGACATCCATGAAAGAGACAATACAGCGGCTCGACTAGCAATCCTACAAGGAAATCAGTTACTGCTAGAGAGGCAAGCAAAACGTTGAAAGGAGAAGATCTGAGACTTTCATCCCCAACCACAGCCCATATGACAAGGGCGTTAACGACGATTGTCGGTGGAGCAGCAAGACCATTGACAGTAATAAGAAAAGTCCAAGTCGGCTGAACTGAATCTAGACGGTTCATGTTATGAGGGTCAAACTCCACAATCGGCATAAAGCAGACACCAGGTGTACTACTAGTAGGAACCACGACACTAGAAGAGTTATTTGCCATGGCAAGCAAGAATTGTGAGGATTTGCTCTTAACGGTGGAAGTAGTGCTTCACTGATCGATGCGACTGTCTGAGTGATTGCATGTGAKTTTAGGTTTTACAAAAGTCGACTGAAGCATTTTGTGTAATTTGTTTTACAATACTTGCGATAAGCAATTGTAAATCCACATTTTTAACTAATACCGCTGATGCACGGACATTTCGTCTAGCACGGAAAAAATAACTTTGGCCAAAATTGCTACAATCGGATGAATCAGTCTGCAAAGATGCAAAGACAAATACAAACTTGAATCTTTGTCAGTATCCCCTTTTCTTTTTTTGGCATTCGCCGTGCTAAATTTGCTATTCAACAACACAAGTCCCATATATAAAACAATCATGCTGTCCCTTGATCAGGATACTAGAGGCAGGCTCTGTTTCGAGTTTAAATTTTCACCAAACGTTTTGCTAATCTCACTGAACCGTCCATTAAAATCTATCTAAATGCCTAAATTCCTCAAAAAAGTGCTCAAAATTTAGTATATGAACACATTTATTGTAATGATATGGGAGATGTAGATTGCTTAACTAAATTTGTACATTAAAGATCGAGGAGATAAAAATGTTCTTTTTAATTTTTTTGTGAATAAGGGAAAAAATCATCATGAATTGAGACACTTTGCATTCATCAGCATTGAAATTTCAGCCGCAAAAACAACGCTTAACTGATAATAATAACATTTTCTGGAAAAAAACGAGATGAAATTTAGTGACTAACCTATATAGTTATTTCTAAAGCTACTTCAGGAAAAGGAACAACTTTCTTGATAATTTCTCGGAAATTTTGTGAACAAAGAACATCTTGCTATTCAGGAAAGTTAACTGTAAATTCAAAGCTCATATCTTCAACAGCATTAACATTTTCTTGAAAAAATCGAGATGAAATTTAGTGACTAACCTATAATAGTTATTTCTAAAGCTACTTCAGGAAAAGGAACAACTTTCTTGATAGTTTCTCGGGAATTTTGTGAACAAAGAACATCTTGCTATCCAGGAAAGTTAACTGTAAAATCAAAGCTCATATCTTCAACAGCAAATTGTTGCGGAACGAATGTGATGAAGAATTTTCTGTAATGTGCATTCTCTACAAGTCGTTCGTTGCAGGAAAACTKATTATCGCTCGATTTTGCGTGTTCTTGATAACTTCTAATTAATAATTAAATCTGTGAYGTTTGCTTTCTTCAATTTCTCTCGTGTTTTGGACAAGAAGAAAATGGATTTGATGTGACGTCGCACTAACTAAAAAACTTTGAGAATAGACGATTGCCGGAATGCGCGCGCGCTTTCAAAAATACATTTCGGGCAAAAACCTAGTCGAGCTTCGTCGGTACCTTTACCGAAACTTTTCGAAGCACTTATATTAATTGTAAAATGTGCACGCGTCCACTAAATGATAAAGTGTTTCAAAGTGCATGTGAAAGTGTCACGCTCGATCCATGAGCCGCTAACGTGGCCAAGCAAATCTTGTCAGGGACGGTTTTCGACACATCTTGAAGAGTAGACCAAAGTCTCTATTAACTATGGTTTCGATTCTTTGGCAATGTCGGGAACTATAATTTTTGATGGTGAAAAACGGTCCAGTATAACTTTGATATTACTTGGCACTCTTACTCTACAGTACATGTACTTCTGCTCTTGGTCATTTCATAATTCGTGAAGCAAATATGTTGCATACTTTTTGTTTTTAGCCCCAAAAAGTCGAGGTCTAGTGGACTACGAGCTAATAGCCCATGAGGCCGAGTCCGCGAGGCCGAATGGGCTATTAGCTCGTAGTCCATGAGGCTGAGAGGTCTAAATGTTTTAGTATAAAACATACTAATTGGTCAAATAATGAATACAAATTGAAATATCCTTAAAATCATTTATAATTTATTTATTTTGATTTTCCCGCGAGTGGTCTATCACAAATTAGACCAATAGTAGAGTAGCCAATCACAGCGCAGTATGAGTGATAGACGATTAAATATGTTTATACTAATAAATGTTATTCTATGAAACTACAGCAATGTCTATTTATATAATGAATTGCCTAGGTATTCTTATAGAATCTTAGCTTAAGATGACTAGGTCTTGTGAGCCACGAGCTACGAGTTGATATCCATTCCTTGGGTTGAGTGCGCCGTTATGGACCATCAACTCGTAATCTACAGTCCACTCGACCTCATGGGTCGGCCTCGTGGGAAGAAGCAAGTGCCTGCGCCGTTCTTCCCTTCCACTACAACATGAAATTGATATTTGCCAAAATAGACACACTAGTAGACTATAAGCTTATATAGCTTGGATAAGATGTACACGCAGTCAAATTTCCASTTACAAAAGAAAATAATTTCGTATTTACATGCATTGAGAAATTGCTATTTTAGCAATAATCCATATTTATATAGAGGGTTGGGCTGCCTGTGCTAAAGGTCAGCGGTATTTCTCATGATTACGTCGCAGTCTTGCACAGGACTTCAAAGGAATCTTTGATTTCTTTATTTTTGGAATTTGTTTTTGTTACTTCAAGTTTACGATGGTAAGTGTGAATCCTTTTATAGTCGTGCAGMCGATGTAGCCGTAGATGTACATCTCTTTAACCTCTGTTTTGTAGGATTCTCACATTGCAGCGTTCAAGAGTCTGGCTCGAAAGGACGCCAGCGAGCGAATGGACGTCGAGCTGCAAAAGCTTCTTTCAACTGTTCATCCTGAAGAGAAGGAGGTGCGATTCCATGAATAAACATAACAAGTACTAAGACAATACCCAGACAATGTTTAGAAAGAAGTCATTGAAAGGAGAGCTAGTTTTTTTGCCACTTTTGATTAATTTCATGAAGCATAACACGAAGCTATTGTCAAAGTGTTGGCATTAAATTGGCTTTAAATGGCTTAACCTTCTGACGTTAGCTTAGATTTATGTCAATCATACCGTTATTTCTTGTATTTTTTTCAGCAAGTAGCCAAGCAGTTTGCTAACTTTAGGGAACTTTTCGAGAGATATCTTGGAGAAACTGGMCCTTCAGTAATTTGGGAAAAAATCCATCCTCCACCACAGGGATCAGTAAGCTTTAAAAGTTATTTCTTTTGTTTTGTTTTGTTTGTTAGAAGTTTTATTTTCCGAGCAATTCGTAGTTGTAAGTCTCCTTTTAAAAATCTGCTAGTTTAATTAAAAAATGTCATTTCATCTATTTTCATCATATTTTCAATTGCCTTCCCAGGTTTAATGAAGTCAAGTATTCTTCTTATCAGTTATAATATTAACATTCATGGCTTTGTGATGAGYTTTATTTTAAATCTCATTTAAGATTTTACTTAGAGACACAGGCAGCTGTTTTATAGATTGTTTAGTTTACTGTAAAGGTTTCTTAAACAAATCAGAGGATAAACAAGATAAATAATGAACTAATAGAAATTATATTTATTATAAAACATGATATAATTGYACTACTAAATTTTATCTGTCATCTAACTATTTATGTTGTAAAATGTGAAGTACTTTCCATGCATGAMCATATGCTCATGAAATATTGCACTTCATGGCCTGTGGTTATTATCTCTCTTTTGATTGGTTAATGAACTGTATTTCTAGGTGGKGTTACTGTTTT